GAGCACACAGATATAAGCTTTTGTCCCAGAGCAGCCAGATATGGATCCCTGCTTTCCACAAGTGGCCAGAATCCCAGTCTCCCCAGGAACTCTGCCTGTTCCAGCTTTCCAACCCCATAATCAGAAGAGTATGATGAAAGCACCATGAAATGTAGGTTTGTGCTCCCAGCTCAGATCTCCAGAGCCAGGTATTCAGCAGTCCCAAGCCTTCCACTGCCTCCCTGCTCACTCTTCCTCCCCCTGGTAAGGTGGGGTGGGGGAAGGGCTCAGGTCCCGCTGAGCCACAACTTTGGTACACTTACCCCATTCGGTGAGGTCTGCTATTTTCTCCAGGTGTATGCAGTCTAGTGCTGTCCTCTTTCCTGTTGCTCTCTCAGGATTAGTTGCACCAACTATATTTTCTAATTGTATCCAGTTTTAGGAGGAAGCTTCTGTCTCTCCTCTCATGCCACCATCTTTAATCCTTCTCACATTATTCTTTATTTTAATCCTCAAATTATCTTAAGGTTTGTCCACTTTCAGGTGGGCTCTCAAGTCATTTTTTTCTTCTTCCTTTTAAATTTTTCAAGTTTTGAAAAAGACTTTCTTTTTCATTACAGTTATAGTTTCACAGCAAAATTGAGCAGAAGGCACAGCTGTTTCCAGCACACTCCCTGCCCCCTTCCCACACAGCTCCCCTCACTGTCAAAATCCCTCCCAGGAGTGGGACATTTATCACACTCAATGAACCTACAATAACACATTATTGTCACCCAACATCCATACTTTACATTAGGGTTCACTCTCAGTGTATATTCTATGGGTTTTCAGAAATGTATACTGATGTGTATCTCCCATTGTAGTATATAGACTATCTTGTTTCCTTTTCAAATACCATTTTCTGAGCTCTTCCTGGCTTTCTGGTGGGAGACATTCCAGGTTTCTCTTCTCTTTCCCCTGACCAAATCTGGAATCTACCATTTCTCCAAGAAACCTAGGTTCCTTTTAGTGAGAAATGGTATTTAGAAACCAAAATCTGGAATGTAGGAGTGCTCATTGCTACTAGGATTTCTTGGCTTTTAGATCTTCTCAGTGTACAAAGCTGAGAACGTCAAATATATTTATAGAGGACTGATAAACATACATATTTCTTTATTTACCCATAGCCATTGTTGTAAACATGTTGTCTCTCAACAGCAGCAAAAAAGCCTTGATGCATAGTTTACTTCTATGACATAAATACTCCCTTCATGGTTAATTTTAAGCTACCAATGGTTTGACAACCATCTCAGAAAATTCCTGAAAATTTAACAATTGGTTGTAGAGAATAAGGATGACTCCAGCATAGCACTAAAATATATCTATACCTATGTCTACATCTACTTCTATCTGTGCATCTATTATTCTATCAATCTATCAGCATAGTCCAAAACAACTTTTTGTGATGAAGTCAATAGTCTATATCTTCTTGGTTTGATGCAATAATCACTGGACACAGGTAGCTATTGAGCACTTCACATATTGCCACTGTAAAGATGAAACTTGTATTATATTTTACTTCATTGATTGAACTAAAATTTAAATAGGCACATGTGGCTAGTGGCTGACATACTGAAAGCAGAGCTCTAAACTTTGAGTACATGGAGTTCATGTTAACACCATGGATGAAAGAATTTGTTAGAGGAATTTACTAACAACAGCATCCTAGAAACCATCATTAGGAAATCAGAACTATTTAAACCTTTCTTACATGCATTTTGTATTGTTTTTAGCTGTGAGGTACATGAATATGGCAGGTGCCATATTCATTTCAGTGCTTAACTATCTAAAGGTTCTAATATAGTACCAATAAAATAGATTAGAACCTGACCATGCTTAGATTGTCCCAGGAGAAAATTAAAAGGGAGACCAACTTATCTTCACAAGGGTTGTTTGCTGAGCATAACGTAGAGCAAAGAGTGGGGACGTGTACTAAGAAAGATGACATTCAGGGCATGATTGAATAAGCACTGCTAACTCTACTCACTGGGCCCTGTTTTTCTATATTTCATGCTGGTCAGTGCCCTTTTAATGATACATTCTTTCTTCTGCTATTCTATGCCATTTTTTAGAGTAGGATCAATCACCACTCTTCTAGCTTTTGTCCGTGTCTGTAATTTCTAATATATCACAGAGATCATTTATTGAAGACCTGTGCCTCTGGCCTTCTGTTACCTGATGCCTCTCAAAGGTATAATAATCCATGCTTCCTAAACTAGCATGTGCACACAAATCACCCATACCAAGAATTTTCAGATTTTGATTCAATAGTTCTATGGTGGGGTTTAATTTTCTGCATTTTGAATAAGTTCCCATGTGCAACTGATATTGCTGGTCCATGGACCACACTTTGAGTAGGAAGAGTTATCTGTAGCCCACTATTGTCCTCTTAAGTCCCCCCAAACATGTGGAGATGAAATATCTTTTGCTTTTCCTTACAATTAAGCCTATACTGCAAAATCTCTCAACAAAATCAGCTATACGTTAGATAGACTTATTTCATATTTTCCTGGAGGAGAATGCTATCCCATATCCTTGTAGAGAAAGTACTTTTAGAATTCTTAAAGGGATATGCTGATCACACCATGTATGTTAGACAGAAATGCTAGCTCATGAAATTACCCATTCACATTGGGGGGAAGGGTGTCATAACCAACCACAGAAGGTAAAGAATAGCATTAGCCTTGGGAAAAACTGAATCAAGACAACTTTTGCCTTCTTTGTCTTTGAAAGATAGACATCATAGTGCAGACCACTCCCAGCTGGACTCTGAACTGCTTTCCCATTTTTTCCCTAACGATTTGGGAGTTCAACTTTGATTTCTCCTCATCTAACCTGTGATGTTGTATATTCATTTGCTTTACCTCAATGTCTTTCTCTTCTTTTAGTTCTATCTGATATGGAGCTTGTGGCCCAATCTATTATCTTTATTTTTGCTGGATATGAGACCACTAGCAGTGCTCTTTCCTTCCTTATGTATTTATTGGCCACTCACCCTGATGTCCAGCAGAAACTGCAGGAGGAGATTGATGCAACTTTCCCAAATAAGGTGAGAGGGTGATACCCAGAGAGGGTGGGAGAAGGTGCAGGTTTAGCAAGAAGGCCTCCTCAGCATTTCCTAGGAGGATTTTTGCAAAATGCAGAAGCATCAGTTCTTACACCTGCACATTTAGGAAGGATTTATGGAGAGAAAGGAAAGTGAGAAATGTAGGTAAAATACATTATTCACAGAAATGTAAGATCTTTGAGAAAAATGCACTGGTGCTAGTATACAGTTATCTGTTACCAAAATACTGCCAAATAAAAATCACACACAAAGTATTTGTGGCGCCTAACATTAAGCATTTATTGCTCAAGTGTCTAGATAGCTTTCTCTGTTAGCATTTGCTTGACCCGCCTTCGTCTGGCTGTTGGCTGGTCTAGGCTGGCCCTGGCTAGGCTGGCAGGGCTGACTCAGCCCCACACCCATGCATCCATGCATCTCTCCTATTCCAGAAAACTAGCCTGGTGTGTTATTCTCCGGGCAGTAACAGACAGCTACAGCAAGAAGCCCAATCTGTGGGTGCCCTTCTAAACACTGCTTGCATCACACTTGGCCAACATTCCAGTGCTTCAAAGCAGGCCACATGGTCAACCCCAGAGTCAGAATGGAAGGACACCACAACATTAGAGGGCAAAGGGCACAAACACAGGAGGGGTCAAGAAATGGGGCCATTCATGGAGTTTGCCACACTGGGTAACTTTGCTGAACAGGAGAGGCTTGGTATGTAGGAAAGATCATAATAGGATATAGACCATATGAATTTCAGCCCTGACTCTGGTTTTCACAAGGTTATCACCTTCCTAACTCATAGGTGTCCTGACCCGCAGGACTATCAATGGGGGTTGACGACCTGGAGGAGAGAATGAAGGGGCAAGAGACACAAAGAACGGACAGCAAGACAGGATGTCTGATCAAGCTGACCAATTTTATTTTTCTCAGGCTCAATTTATATAGGTTGTGAAGAAAATATATGTAAAGAGGTGATTGGTCTTCAGTTGGCACCGCCGGGAACGTGTAGAGAGGTGATTGGGCTTCAGGTGGCGCCGGCAGGAACCGAGGACCCAGAAGAGAAGCAGGAAGTTTGCCATCTTGTGGGTGGGGGCCCTTGGGAGGGAGGTTTAAGTGTGGGGCTTTCCGCTGGGGCAGCAGGTGTTCTTGAGAAGCAGTAGTTTGGCCGGGTTAGAAGGCCAGTGGAAAGAACAGAGGAGGAAACATTGCTTAGCAATCTGACTGCAAGATCTATATTGATTTGGCTAGGAGAGCAACTCTGCCTTACTGCAGAAATGATTGCTGTTGTCTTAAGACTTACATAACTAGTATCGCTTAAAAGTCCATAGGCTCGCTCCCAGCAATAGGTCCTTCAAATATAAAGTAAGGATACATTTTAGGGCCTACCTGAAATAGAGATTTTCTTTCCTCTGTGGTAAATCACATTTGGGGATCCTTTTGATTGCAATAAGATGGAAAGGTCACTATGAGACAGAGCTTAGCTAGAGCACTGTGTTCCCCCATTTTTATAATAATTATTGCAGTCTTAACAACAACACTAATACCTCACATTTGCTTCTTACTATGTATGTCTGCTTTAAATGCTTTATACTTATAAATGAATTCAATCTTGCTAAAATTCTGTATTAAGATAGGACAGGATATGTTTCAGGAACAGATGAACCCTCAAATCTCAGTGGCTTTACATAGCAAAGGTTTACTTATAACTCATATTTCTATGTCCAACATGGATTGTAGGTGGAGGATGGGTGTGTGAGTGTCGTTACTCCAGGATTCACGCTAGAGGCTCCACTTTCTTACAGCACCATTCTCTGGAATGTGAAGAGTTCATGTTGGCTGGGAATAAAGATCTAGAGTGGTGCTCATTGGCTTTTCAAATGTTTTGATCCCAAAGTGACATACATCCCCTCAGTTCACAGCCCATTTGCATTCTGTTGTCCCCTAACTTCAGGTTCACTGGGAAATGTGGGGGACAACATGGATATTGGGTGACCAGTGAATATCTCTGCCACCAAATCCTGTGAGGCCCAACTCCCATTATCTGCTTATAGCATAAAGGTAAACTGAGCTTCAGAGAGATGAAACACCTTTCATACACTCTCCTGTCACTACCAGTGAAAAAGCTAAGCTATGGGCTGATGTCTGGCTCCTGAGCCAAACACTTAGCCTCTACAATGTTGCCCATGAAATATAACACCAAGTGACAGCCACGTATTGCCCATGCTATTTTCAGATCT